TATATATATATATATATATATAACAAATCAAGTGAGAACCTAAATAATGTTAAGAACTCACATGCATTTGTTTCATTTAAGACTAGATTTATGATATTGTCTTACATATATTTGTTTCACAAGATAAAACTTTAAACATCTATCATTTGTTTCACAATGTGAAATAATACTACATGAAACATCACATATTTCACTAGTTCTCATTAGGGGTGAGCATAGGCGGGTACCCGCCCTTTTTGACAGGAACCGGAATCGAAACCGGCGGTTCTTGAGATATTGGAACCGGAACCGGTTAGAGCGGTTCTTAAAATTTTTGAATCGGAACCGGAACCGCCGGGAACCGTTTCCGGTTCCGGGTACCCGCTTCCTAAAATATTAAGATTTTGTTATTTAGAAATAAAAAATAAAACATTGTCAAAATACTAAATAAATAAGCAAGAATACAAATTATACAGAATAATGGTTACAAATATTGTTTAACGATTATAAACCATGATAGACTAATAAAAAATGTTCAAAGTTTAACGATTACATATTATAATGGTAAATGTTCAAAGTTTAAGGATTACATACTATGAATCCAAATGAACACACAATTTGAAAAAATACGAATCATTTTATATGAAGAATGAAGATGAAGAATGAAGATGAAGAATGAAGAATGAAGATGAAGAATGAAGATGTAAACCTAATATAAATTTGGTATTTAAAAATAATAATTATTTTTTATTGAAAAATACCGGATACCCGGCAGGTAACGGTTCTGAAAAATTGAGAACTGGAACCAGAACCATTCTCAATCGGTTCCGTATTTTAGGAACCGGAACCAGAACCACTCATATCAGTTTCGGTTCCGAAATCGGCGGTTCCAAGGCGGTTCCGGTTCCATAGCCGGGTACCCGGTTCCACTACTCACCCCTAGTTCTCATGGTTCTCAACATTTTTGAAATTCTCACTTGATTATGCCGATAAAAGAAAGTTCATTTAGCAACTGTAAATATTTTGAGAACAAATTATTCATGTTGAATATACTTAAACATTATTCATCATGAACATCATGCATTTTGTTATTCATAATATTCATCATAAATAATTCATGACTAGTTGGTTCTTACAGTTTCAAAATACTAACAGTTCTCAAATGAACCTGTTCTAATGCCCATATACCAATTATTGTACGAGTTCTTTTTGGTGTTACTATATGTAACTCTACTTATGTTAGAGTTAACTTAAATCATGTATTGAAAATGTAAAAAGTAAATCTAGCTATTGATGTGTGTGAGAAAAAAAATTATTTTCATTTTCATTCCCATTTTCATGCCTCAACCTGAGCCAAACAGACTATTAGTAGGTAGAAACGTAGTTAGCAATATAAAGGGTGTATTTAGGGGTCGTTTATCAAACACTTGCCTGGTAAGTGGTTATCAAGTTACATTACCTTACTGATGAATATGACAAAGACCAAGAATCTTACCCGATAAGAACGAAAATAAGGACTTAGAGTCTTACCTAGTAAGTGATGATAACGACTCCTACCATGGTTAACGCTTACCAGGTAAATTGTTACAAACGATACCATTTTGGTAGACTAAAAAATCTTACCCTGTAAATAAGTAATAGTATTGAATTTTACCGATAAACACTTACTCATGTAAGAGTTTGGTAAACGACACCTTAGTCTACCTTTTTTTTTTCTTAAATATGAATTGCGAGGGTTAAATAATAAAGTTGATTTAAAATTGAGGACCAAAAAGGACAACTAATACAAAATGAAAGGATCAAACCTGCAAAATCCCTCACACACACACAGTCACTCACACTCACGCTTTTTCCGTACATATAAGATTATGATGAAAGAGAAACAAAAAGCACTAATTTCAGTTATCAAAGCACCAAGATTACGACGAGAAGAAGAAGAAGAAGAATCATCCATTCAGATTGAACAAATAAAGCTTCACCCAAAAATGGCAATCACCATCTTCACGTTTCTCCATGGCTTCTCTTTCTTCTTCTTCCTTTTAACCTGAACATTATCACTGTCGCCCTTTCAATCGCCGGCGAATAATGGACCCCTGTCCTTTTGTTCGCCTTACAGTCGGCAATCTAGCCCTCAGGATACCTGTTGCGTCAAAAGCTGCTCGCTCCGTCATTCACCCATCCTCATCGCCATGTTTTTGCAAGATCAAGCTCAAGAACTTTCCGGTTTACACGGCCGTTGTTCCGTTTTTTCCGCCGGAGAGTCACAACCTTGAACTTCAAACCCTAGCTGCGACTTTCCATTTGAGCAAGTCTCATCTCGAAAAGCTTGTAGCCAAGTCTCTTTTTGCCGGAAAGCTTTGTTTGAAGATATCCATTTTTACTGGACGGAGAGGAAGTAGCTGCGGTTTGAGCTCCGGCAAGTTGTTGGGGAAAGTGATTGTGCCGTTGGATCTCGCCGGAACGGAGAGCAAAGCTTGCGTCTATCACAATGGATGGATCACTGTCGGCAAAGACGCCGATAAAAGCTCTTCTAGCGCGCAGTTTCATTTGAATGTCAAAGCGGAGCCAGATCCGAGATTCGTCTTCCAATTCGACGGTGAGCCGGTGTGTAGTCCTCAGGTTTTTCAAATCCAAGGGAACATCCGGCAACCGGTTTTTACTTGCAAGTTCAGCTTACGCTCCACCACCGCCGGCGACCGTAATCATAGATCTAGGTATTGTTTTTCTTACATTAAAACTTCACTCGGCGGATTTTGATTCTAATTTTACCCTAGATGGAATTAGATTCATCCGCCATTGTTATGCTTCTTCAACTTTTACTGTTATAAATTAATTACAATTAATTTAACCTAAAAAGCTTGCTTTTCCTGTTCATAAATCTTAAATTGAACAAGATCCCTGGCTTTTCTCATTAGATTTGATTCAGATTAAGAGAATCAAAAGCATGTTTTGATTCACTGTAATGTTCTTTGCTTCAAGTGTGGATTAATTCATCAAACGGTAGAAGTAGATTCAATCTCTTGTAGTAATAGAAAAATTAATCCTCCTTTTTCAATCGTTTGTTTCAGATCGTTACAGTCAGAGCCCAGTGGTTCAAGAGGGTGGTTGAGTTCTTTCGGAAGCGAGAGAGAACGGCCGGGAAAGGAGAGAAAAGGATGGTCGGTAACCGTCCACGATCTCTCTGGATCACCAGTCGCCGCCGCATCAATGGTGACTCCGTTCGTCGCATCTCCCGGTTCCGACCGTGTCAGCCGGTCGAACCCTGGTTGTTGGCTCATCTTACGTCCCGGCGACGGAACATGGAAGCCATGGGGCCGGCTCGAGGCCTGGCGTGAGCGTGGTGCCCATGACGGCCTTGGTTACCGTTTTGAACTAATCCCGGACTCCGCCGCTGCCGGCGTTGTACTGGCGGAGTCCACATTGAGCTCAAGCAAAGGTGGGAAGTTCGTAATCGACATAGGGGCCGGGAACGGCGGCGGAAGTGGTCGGAAATCAAATGTGACGTCTCCGGTGTGTAGTCCGAGAGGGAGTGGGGATTTTGGGTATGGGTTGTGGCCGTATTGTGCATACAAAGGTTTTGTGATGGCGGCGACGGTGGAGGGAGAAGGACGGAGGAAGGCGGCGGCGATGATGGTGGAGGTGAGCGTGCAGCATGTGAACTGCACGGAGGATGCTGCGGCGTTTGTGGCATTGTCGGCGGCGATTGATCTGAGCATAGATGCGTGCAGGCTTTTTTCCCAAAGGCTGAGAAAGGAACTCTGCCAGCCAGAAGATTTAGTGTGAAGGCTGAGTGAGGGTTGTACATCATGCTTCAAGAGTTGTACATAAGGAGAGTGTGCACCAGTTGTGGTTTTTTGTAACTAGGTGTGTGGTTTTTGTCTTCTTTTTCTGGTTTTTTCAAGGAGAAGTAATGTTTTTGTGTTCAATCTTTTTGGTGGTTGGTTATTCAAAGGGATTGTTTGTTTTATCATATTTCCTTTTTTAGAAAGTCAGATAAAAAAAAATGGTTGTTGCTAAAAGTGTATTTTGTCTGAGAAAATGTAAAAAGTAGGTTTTGATGTTGATGTTGATGTGTGTGAAGAGAAAATTACTGTATTTACCGATGTATACCCGTTTTATCTCAACTCTGATAGGGTAGCATCATTTGCTATGAGTAATGGCATGCTTAGATAGTAAGATAAGTGATGTATGATAAATGATTGTTAGATAAGTATTTGAAATTTTTGACCATTGGAGTAAGCATTTAAAGACTTGACTATTGCGGATGTTCAGCATCTCCAACGGGTAAAAATAAGAACTTAAAACAAAAAGTTGAGAATTAGTTGATGAAAAAGTTAACCACTGGAGCAATAACTTGAAAAATGATTTAGGTGCCGTTTACCAAACGCTTACCCGAGTAAGTGTTTATCAAGTTACTTTACTTTACCGGATGAATATGACAAGGACTAAAAATCTTACCCGGTAAGAGCGAAGACAAGAATCAAGAGTCTTATCTGGTAAGTGATGACGAAGACTTTTACCATGGTTAGCGTTTACCGGGATAAATTGTTGCATACGATGCGTTTTAGGGAATAAAATCTTAGCCGGTAAGTAAACAATTGTGTTGAATTTTACTGGTAAGTGTTTAGGTAAACGACCCCTTGGACGTCTAAAAGTTTGGGGGATGCCAATTGTTTAAAAATTTATGTATGTGTATCTATACTATCTTATTAAACAAATTTAACAAAAGTCTTAAAATCTTAAAATACTAAATGACCAAAATGCCCTTTTGTACTCACTTTTTCACTTTTTCACTCCCTCCTTTCATCACATACACTCACCTTCTCACAACAGATTTTTTTAAAATTATAATTTTAAATTTACACTTTGTACCCCTATAATTAATTAATTAATTTACTTTACGTCCTTTATTTTTAAATGTTTCATTTTAAACTTTTATCAAATTAACATACATAATCGTATATCAATTAAAACATGTTTAAAAAATACATTTTTATTTTAACAAGTTACACCATTATAATCGTCTCGTTAATACCTTCAAAATGAGTCTAATATTAAATAGTTTTTGACTTAATTATATTATTATATATTATATATACTGTGAAAAAATATTTTTAATATTTACGATTTATACTTTTATAGTTATTTATTTATATATATACTATATATTTTGGGGTTAGGCTGTTCAAATTGCACTGTATAATATGTTTTGAATTAATATGTTCTTGGGTTTTTTTGAAATATATATATATACATGTATTAATTCAATTTTAATCTGAGTTTCTGAACAAGAAATAGGGTAAGCAGTTRAAATTTCATTCTAAAACCCATCTTTTTTTGTCTTTTCATGGTTTATGATCTGTCAAATTTGTAGTTTTTTTATTGGTTTTGWGTGTTTAYCTTAAAACTCAAGTTTCTTGGTTCTTTGCTCTTGGTGTAAATCGAATACATTTATGGAGTCGTTTAAATATATTGGATTTTAAACTGTCATATAATTTTTTTCATCAATAGACTGTAATTGGAACCATAACTCTTATTTATTCAAATTGTATTAATATGCAAAGACCAAGTATAATCCATATCATCGTCAAATCTAAATCTCATCTTATAAAACAAGTGAAACTTCAAAATCGTTAAAATTCATTGCTCCCGTCGCATTGCACGGATACACAACTTGTTATAAATGAATTAAAATACAAGATTTTTTTTAAAAAAGATTTAACCATTGAAATAAGTATTTAAAGATAATTTTTATTTAATAAAAATCTGACGTAACAAATAGATGAATTCTTTTAAAGTATTTACCTAATTTAATGTAAAGTGAATGAGGTGTGTGGTGACTTTTTAGAGTTGTATGTTTTATTGTGTGGTTTGAAGTGTTTTAAATTTTAGTGGCTATCACCCCATACTTGTAGTAGTGTCTTGAGTTTGTCATGGTCTAACTTTTTTACACAATTCTTTTTTGAATTAATTTACTTTTTATTTTATTGGATTTTTTTAATTAATTTTAGAAAATACATGACTTATTTGTTGTAAAAAATGTTTATAGACTTAATCGTTCATAATAACAAATTCTTTAAAGTTTTTTATTTATAAAAATAAACGTATCATTTCTAACATTAAAATCAGTACAAAATAATTAAACCTAAAATCTCATATTACACTCGTCATTTTAGTGTCAGTTTTTCTTGTAAATGTTGTATTATTATTAAGTATTGAACACGAATTTTTTGAAAACAATTTATTAAGTAACTATTAACATATATTTTTGATATATAATTGAACCTACATTTTTGTACTACATTATATACATATAATTGTTAAACCTTCATGTATGAACTTGTAACGATCTGGAATCATATTTTTTCATATAAACATATGTTTTCATATATCAAGAAATATAATTTAAAGAATTGGTCCCCACTATTTACAAAAGCTACATTACAAAGTAGCTACCAATTTTTTTTTACAAAATCTCCATACAAAACTTGTATACATAACAAATATTCAATACAAAAGATAACATGTTATCCTAACATCCCATGCAAGCAAAAATACCTCTTTACAATTTCCCTTTCCCCTTTGATGTCTGGATAACTATATCATCAAAAGGCTACATCAACAAGTAAATCATGCAAGTATACATGACTTATAAGTATCGTCTAAAACAAGTAATAATGATAAGTAATACCAAATATTGTTCCACAAAGATTTAATATGCAAAGAGAGTCACAAAAGTCAACTTTAAAGTGAGATTCTAGAAAATGAGTTTTTTTGGAAGCAATAAAACTTCAGAGAGAAAATATATTTGAGAGATCTGATAATCAAATATTGAAATATAACAATAATTAAAAGATAGTATAGATGGAAGATCAAATTGGATTTCTGCAACGAAGTGTAATTAATATTGCTCTATAAGTAGCTCTGTACAACACTACTGGATTGAACGGCCTTCCAAAGAAGTGCATATTAGACGATATGTTGGAAGTATACTTAGTGATGCATCAATCCCAAGTTAGGACAAATCTTTCCTTTCTTTTCATATAATTTAAACCTAAATTAAATTATAATAAAAAAAATTTTTGAATTAAGAAAATTATATCAAAAACAAGAATTTTAAAAAATGTTAATTTGATATTGATATCGATATTTTTCTTCTTCAGATTTTATGATATTTTCAAATTTATATTTTATTCAAAAATAAAACATTATCATGTTCTCAAAACCACATAAAATCATATTATATCGACATAAAAAAAGAATAAAACAAAATAATGAAATCAAGATGTGTCTCGATACATTTCACGACTACTACTAAATACTAATAATAATAACAATAATAATTTATGAAACTTGAATCTTTGACAATGTGTTGAGTGGGTGATGAGTTGGTGGCGCCTGCTATACAACACATACTACCTGCTCTTTCTCATTTTCTTTTATCATCATTCAAATTTAAAATTACAAAAATCAAAAGAGCCAATTAATTCAAATTCAAAATTACAAAAAACAAAAGAGCCAATTACATTTTTTTATTACCCGGATATCCAACCCGTTATACAAGTCGATCAATCTCAGTACGACTACTTGCTTCACGGGTAGTCCGGAGTCATCACATTTAAACCTCCGTGGCCATAAGAGGATTTGTATTCCTTCTTGAATTCGAACTTGAAACCTCCAGACACTTTTGACCTTTGGAGCCTAACCTGAAAACAATCCGGCACCAGCCATGTAAGTCCCGCTCCGAATCCTTCCAGAAAAATGCATAACCGATATGGTTCAGATGTAATTGGTCCCAAATACTTAACGGACCTCGTTTTGTCTTCATTTTCAACCATCAATTCAATCTTCATTTTGTCTAATTATTGATTTCTCTTGCTTTCGTCTTAGCGTTTTCTTCTAGAAGCTCATCATCAATTTTTCCAGCCCGAGCCTTCGTAACGGGTCTAAAAATCTGGTCCCTTAATCAATTTCCATTATATAGTTTTAACCTGATCGTAATCGGATTGGGTTCCTGTGAGAAGAGAAGTTATAGTGAGAAGCAAAAGAAGATATCTCCATATACTTATATCAATCATAATTAAATGTCAACACTAATGAGGTGCACCAGTATGCACCAGATCAATTCTCTTCTAAAGCGTAATTCATGAATGTATATGAAATTAAAATGATTGAAAATTCAGATTTTTTCTTACACTTCTCACAATAACTTTCCCCATTTTTTGCCGAACTTAACCGGCCCAATTTGGCCAAGTCTAAGATCATTGTTTATGGGTTAAAACCATTTGGGCTTTCTCTTTCTGGGCTTCCTCAGTTATTCTCACAAAAATTTCATATAGAACGACGTCGTCGACTGAATGTAACTGGATAACCCAACGAATCCACTCAGATCCTCACCCATTCTACGAACGGTCGAAAAAGGATGTCGGTCTCGGCGATCTTCGGTGTCAAAATCGTTGCCTTCTCCCCCAACCCTATTCTCCGGCAACCATCCCATGGATTTTCCGGTGGTACGACAAGTGTAGCGCCGCCTGCAGTTGGTTACGGTCATGGAAACAGTCTGGGGTTAGTGATAGAATGCTCATCGAGGCCGCAGAAGAAGGCCACCGCACACCACCGGAAAACAAGGCCTAGGAAGACTCAGGCGTGGGACAGAAACCGTGGCCCCGCCGTTTACCCACCTTTGCCTTCTCTTCCTCCGGAGTGGACTCTCGTCACTGATACGGTCGTTGAAGATTCATCTTCTTCGTCGCCGGCGGTATCTGAGTAGGATTACTTTCTTGTTAAATTTTAATTTGATGTTCAGTTAATGCTTGCGTGGATGCTTAATTTCTTCCATGGTTTTAGTTGTGTTGATGTTATGGAATGGGTCGTCTATGACAGTTGCCTATTGGTTTATCCTTGTATTTTTTTTGCACACCACTTGTTCGATGTTATTCCTGAATGAATAAACTTTCCTGTTTTACGTATGGTTCATCACTTGCTTATTATCTGTATTGAGGATTAACAAGGAGCATGATGGCTTCTTAACCGTATACCCAAACACTTACCCGGTAAGCACTTATCAGGTCAATTATCTTTATATGATGAACGGAACAAGGATCGAGAATCTAACCCGATAAGAGGGCTTACTCAGTGAGTGAGTGAGGGTGAGGATAAGAAGGAATCTTATCCTGTTAGCGTTTACTAGGTAAATTTTAGCATAAGATGCCATTTTTCATGGCCTAGAATCTTACTGGTAATGTAAGTGAGAGTGTCGAATTAGCAGCTAATCATATAGCGGGTGAGAGTTCACACTTTCACTTAACTTAGCGATAAGATTCTAAGTCTTTGAAAAAAAAGCAATGCTACATTTTACCCTGTAAGCATTAATTAGGTAAGATTTTTGATTATTGTCACGTTTATCTCGTAAGATAAGTGACCCAGTAAGTTTTTATTAGATAAATGTCTGGTAAACAGTCCTTTTTAAGACATTGCGTATTTGAAATGGTGTGTTTGTAAAGGTGTCTCTTTAAGGTGGACTCATATTCCAAGATCCAAATGTTCATTATATGTTGTTATAGTGGTGAAAATATAAAATTGCGTTGAAGACCCATATTTGAAATATCAGTTATAGTGATGGTATCCAAAAATAGCGGTTCATATAATATTTCTTAGAATTATATATATATATATATATATATGTGTGTGTGTGTGTATATATATATATGTATATATATATATATATGTATATAGGGAATGGTTCAAACGAGAACACATTTATTTTACGAGAACGTGAGAACACTCTTTTACTATAGACAATCACATGTGATACTATTATTCCATCACATATGATACACATGTGATACTAAATCAGAGACGCGGACGATTTTCGATGCGATCTTGGTTGCGGGCCAAGTCGTCCTTACACCACTAAACCCTTCACATGTATTATCACATGTGATAAGGGTGTTGTTGATATGATACTATAATCCATGAAGACCATCATATGTGATGCTAAATCATAGACGCAAACAACCTTTGGCGCGGGCTAGGTCGTAGAACACGTCGTCCGCATATCACAGGGTCTCCTCACGCGTATTATCACATGTGATAAGGGTGTTCTCGTAAAATGGAGGTGTTCTCGTTTGAACCTCCACCTATATATATATATATATATATATATATATAGACATGGGATCATGTGAGACCAATGGTTTTTCGTGAGACCCGTAAGACCAATTCTCAACCCTTGGATTAGATCTACAATCTGAAAATCTAAACATTCACAAAACGCCACGAGACTTCTCAATAATCACAAAATTGCCACCGTCAATTTAGACCATTAGATCATTAACTTATAAAGTTGATCAATGAACATAAATTGGTCTCACGGGTCTCACGAAAAACCATTGGTCTCACGTGAACCCAACCCTATATATATATATATATATCTATGCATCTATATGCTGGAAAAGAAGCTGTTGAGAACTTGATGAAGAAGGTGGACCGGAACATAAGCTCTTGAGGATCGACGGTGAAGTAGAAGGTGGAGGGGAGCAAAAGCTTTCGTCAAGTCACTGGAGATTGGGAGTAGGAGAAGAAGGTCGAACTTTTCTTGGTTGACTGTTGTTGTCGTCGAACTCAGTAAGGAAGGATACGATATTGGAAATAAATTACAAACCGAACCGAACCGAATCTTTTAAGTTAAGTTTATAAACCGAATGTTTGATAAGGGCCCAATCTAATTACAAGCCCAAGTCAAAAAAATTCAAAATAAAAGCCCAAAAAATAAAAATAACACGTAGTTCTAAAGAGGCTCAAGCTAAAATATCAGAATATCAGTCCGTGATTTCATCTCAAATATCGGTCAAATTAATATCGGAAACGCAATTTTCATCGCAATTTGACCACTGTAATTTTACCTTAGTCCGTAATTTGCTATTGCACCATGCAACAACGTCGTAATTAACAACATAGTGTTCATCCTTAGTAGTATAAACATCAACAGGGGAACCCTCCCCCTCCCCTTCCCCTTCACCTTCCCCCTCTATCCAATTTATTCCTTAATTATAAGGGTGTTTTTGGTATCGAGACAGAATAGGACACAATTATAAGATAGGACTGGACATAACAACTGTTCAAAATTTGGTAAGACAGAATTGAACATGACAAAACAAATAAAATGACTAATTTACTATTAACGAGTTATTTATATATTTTGACTAAGTTTTGTAATCTATTAAATTATATAATAAAATAAATATTTTTATAACAAAATATATTATTAGAAAATTTTCATCAACACGATTAAAGTGACACCAAATTAAAAAGTTCAAATACTTATTAATTTTTTTTATTTCATATTTTTTCTATATGATTTTTTATTATTAATACTGAATAAATTACATAATTAACCAACTACAGAAACCTATAAAAATATTATTTTAAGTACAGTATAGTGAAAGTTTAAAAAATATAAAATAAAATAAAATAAATAAAATATTAAAAACGAATAAAATGTAAAAAAAGGAAGGTGTATTTGATATTTTAGAAAAGAATTAAGTCTTATTTTGAGGTCATATTAGTAAAATATAAGTATGTTCCACATGATGGGGGTGGAACACGCCTGTTCCGCTGTGTTCCACTCTGTTCCTGTCTCTTATATATAAAAGTCATGTCAAATGTGAAACAACAATCTATATTATGTCATGTCATGTCCATACCAAACGCACCTCGAGTGGACCATTTATGGGATATTGGTGTTTCTAGAATAACCGGTCCTTTTTGGCAAAAAAATAAATAAATAATTAACGAGGTTGGTTCTTAACCGGTTTTTGGGCAAAGATTTAAACTGTTCTTTTTTTATTTATTTATAATTGATCTTGAGAAATAAAAGTTGATTAAACTATGACATCGTAAAAAAATTAATTCTTTTAACGTCTTCATTTTTATGTTCTCATCTTGAATTTTATCTGTTGTATTGAATCTTTTTATATTGTTCATCAGTTTTAACTTCTTTAAGTGATCAAGTTGAGCATTATTTAGATGTATATTCTTTCTAATAAACTCTCAACTTCAAGAGCGAGACAAGGACCAAGAGTCTTACCCGGTAAGTGAGGACGACGACTCTTACTACGGTAGACCCTTACCGGGTAAGTTGTTGCATACGATGTCATTTTGGTGGACTAAAATCTTACCCGGTAAGTAAATAATAGTGTTAAATTTCATGAAAGTAAGTGTTTGGTAAACGGCCTCTAAGATTACAGTGGATGTTATTTCTAGGAAACTATGGAACAAGGGCGGACCTATGTAGCGGAATATAGTGGCACATGGGAATATGGTGGCCGAGGCCACCGCTTCATAGTTATGTCGTAATGGATAAAGTAAAATGTTTTTGATATATATTTATGTGGGTGCGGTTATAATTTTTGAAACTAAACTAATAACACAAGTTGTAATAATAGAGATGATAACATTGTTGCCGTTTCACAAAATGTCTGGATTCATGTCTTGCTTTTATCAAATTTCTCAATTTTCAGTTTAAATTTGGGGATTTTATACAACTTTTGTGTTTATATATATATATATATATATATATATATATAGAGGTTGGTTCAAATAGAAACCAACCATATGGTACAAACTATGGAAACCGATCTTGATCAATCACATTCTTTCTTCACTTTAGGTTCAAATCTAAATTATAAATTAATGATAAGGGTAATTTGGTAATTCAACATTTTTGTAACCCCCAATAATTAATTGGGAGTTACAAATCTTAAAAGATACATCTAATTGTTCATGAGATTTTTATGTTTCTTTTATTATTTCATGTTCATGGTATTCATTTCAATT